ATGCGTTTTCTACTTGAGGTATTTTCAACTTCACTGGGCTATGGCCATTGTAAGTCAAAGGGGCATCTGTACTATGCTGTCATCTGAGACTGCCTCATAAACAAGATTTAATGACAAGGGGAAATAGTCACACTGCAGTATGAAGTAGAAATAATATGTAAAGCATTCATATCTATGTGCCTAGAAGAAAGGGTACAAAATTTCAGTTAGACACAGAGAATGCTTTGGAGATCTGTTGTACAAAGTGGTACCTGGAATATGCATTGTATATTTCAAAATTGCCAAAACCATAGTTTTGAAGTATTTTCACTACAAAAATACAGGCCTGCAAAGTTATAGGCTTGTTAATTAGCTTGATTTAATCTTTCCATGATGTCAGCACACATTGTACCCTATAAGTGTATACAATTTTATTTTTATTTTTATTTTTTATTTTTGGTACCAGGGATCAAACTCAGGTCCTTGCGCTTGTGCAGCAGGTGGCGAAACCACTGAGCTAAATCCCTGGCCCTATACAATTATTTTTGTCAATTATAATATGAAAAATACAACTAATGATTAATTGTGAATGAAAAAAGAAAAGTTTGGAGAGTTGCACACAAATCCTTACATACTTTGAAGCAGTGTTTTGCAGGCACGCTGGTGCCATGTGCACCAGGAGCCAGGGGAAGCAGGCCGGTGTGGAGACTCTTGCCGCCATGGCTTACATGCTGCAAGGTTTGTGAACAGGTTACCCAGCCTCTTTGTCACCAAAGAAAGGACACAGATGCTCTCCACAGAGTGCTGTCTTAGATCTGTGCCTTCATGCACTTGGAATCCAAAGAAGAGCCTTCACCTAGGAAAGACACAGAATTCTCCTTGGGACCAGGCGAGATGGTGCCATTTATGCGTTATTTACAGGGAACGAGGGGGGCAGTGCTTAAATCACAGACCACTTGATCTTCCTCACACCTGATTTCCAAGTAGCTGGGCCGGCAAGGGGCGGAGTAAACCTACTGTGTCCCCAAACCTGCAACTTCCTCGTTGGGTTCCCTGTGATGGGAAGGTGCATTTCGGGGAGCTACATCCAGGTGCTGATGGGTGCTCCCCATTCACACATCAGGTCCTTGTGGTGTGCACTGAAGCGCTTCTTCCCGGAATCTATCAGCCGCCTGGAAGATGCACAAGGCAGAAGCCCTTTGCTTCCCCTCTGGCTGCAGGAAGCGGAGCCTCTTTTGCCTCGGAGGTCGCCTGAGCTCTACCTCAGAGCAGGTGTCTGGAGGTGACCTTGCTTGCCCAGGCCACCCCGAGGCCTCAGGACCAAAGTCTCACTACAAGGGACAACCAGGCATTGGAGACCTCAAGGCCAGTTGTGTCATCTCAGGTTATTAGCTTCTGCTTGCAAAACCTAGATCGCACTTTGGGAGAAGTGAGTAAGTGGCCATGCACTCTTCTGAAACTGGTGGGGATCTTCTGGGATGAGCCTGGAGCGGTCAGGACTCGGGCACAGCCTGCACTTTTCGGAGAGGTGGGGCAGTGTTGTCACTGTGCAGGATGGGCACAAATGTGTTCCATCTTCTCCTCTCTAAAATGGGTAGTAACTGACCTGTGTTACATGGACTTGTGTGATATGTGCAGAAGGTTGGGTGCTGTGTTTGGCACAAGGGAAGGTGGCACCATGAGTGGCTGCTTTAGGCTCAGTGACTTCTTCATGGTTGATTATTGGCCAAACTGAACAAAAGGACCAAGATCCTTATTACTGTGGAATTTATACTCAGGAGAAAGACTAATCAAACAACGAAATGAGGCAAATGCAGTGGAAATGAGGTCAGAAATCTAGTGGTGTAAATGCTGCACCTTTAATTCTCCAGGAAAAAAAAGCCCTGCTTTATAACATATACTCAAGTGACCAAAGTGGTGTCAACTGATGCTTAAAATTCCTCAGCATTTAGCAGTTTGTTCTTGTGAGACCCGAAGAGCTGACCCTGGCACTGGTGCATGTGAATCCTGTGGCTCAGGAAGGGGCTGAAGATCTGAAAGCTAAATGCACAGTGGAAAAGTACTCCAGGCAGAGAGAGCAGCTTGTGCAAAGGCCCTCGGGTCAGGATGCGCTTGGTGTGTTCCGTGAGCAGAAGGGCTGGTGTTGGTAGTAGCCTAGCAGGGTGCAGAGAGGAGACAGAGACTGGGCTGTGGGGACCCTCAAAGACCGGGGCACTTCCAACTTTGGATTTTATTCTAAGGGTACAGGAAGTGTTTGGAGGGTTGTAACCAGAGGGTGTCAGGGATCTGATTTAAAAAGATCATCGCACCGCTCCAGCAAGAGGCAGGCTGGGCGTTGCTCACCCCAGGGAGAGGCAGTGACAGCGTGGCGCAGTATGCCAACGTGGGAGGGGACAGGAGTGGTTGGACTGACACTGAGCAATGGGGCCATGACAGATGTATCTCCAGGTGCTCCCTGGCTGCCTCCCATGTGTCCACCCAACATGCCACTTCTGCTCATCTGTCATGGGAGGAAGCGGCAGCATGGGCTGTCAGCCTTCAGTCTGTCCTGCCTGGCTGTCTCCATGACTCTGTGAATCTGTCCTCACCAGTGCTGATAAATCCAGGAGAGATGAGGAAATGTATTTATCCTGGGTTCCAATGCAAAGCAAAAGCAAAAAAAAAAAAAAAAATCTCTTCTCAGTGTTGCCCTCCTTCTTTTTGATTTTTGCTACTGAGAATTTACCTGATCCTCAGATAAGAGGCTTCTGACTTGGGCTTTTATCTTTGCCCACGGCCGCCTCTTGGATGGTTACCAGACACCTATGTAAATGTTGTGGGTGTCAGCCCGGAGATTATGAGAAAGGTTGGCACTCTGCTCTGCTCCACTCCACTCCCAGCCTGTCTCTGTATAGATTTTAGAAGGGAACACTAGAGTTCCATCTTTCTAGATGGGCAGTGTCCAGCAGAACTTCCTGCGATGGGGAAATGTTCTGTATCTGTGCTTGTAGCCACGCATGGCTAGCGAGCAGTTGAAATGTGACCAGTGAGACTCAGAAACTGACCTTCAATTTTAACCTGGTTTAGGGTACATGTGTGGCTAATGGCTCTGTTGGAAAGCGCCGTTGTAGACCCTGTGTTATCATTCATCACTCTGGCGCCTTTTGTGACGGGTGACAGGAGGTCCCACTGAGTCTCTATAGAATTTCAGAGAAGGGAGGCATCTTAGTCAACTTGTCATAGCCTCCCTCAATTTGCAGAGAAAGGGATTTTAAATGATTGGTGTAGCGTTTCTTCTGCTGGGGAATGCCAGGAATTTATCAAATTTTTGGCTTGACCTTCTTTGGGCTTCTTAGACTATATAGTACATGAGACATAGACTGTGCACACTGTGTATATGATACACTATATACAGTGTTATGTATATATAATATCTAAACTCATTAAATTTCCCAAGTTAAACTCATTAAAGTTCTCTGGAGTACATTCTTGGTGTGTAAAGTTAAAGTCCTCTGACCACCTTCTCAATCTTGAGCTCATCCACCGTCCTGATTGGTTGTGGTGGGGTCAGTTTGAAGCGCGTTCTTCTACACCTTTTCCTGTTGCATCCATGTGGGTGTGAATGGTTGGATGGAAAACATTCTGCATTGTTTCATAATTTGTAGGTTTTGACACATTTTTTTTCTTCAGAAATATGTGTGAGATCTTTCTCGGTCAATTTATAGACCTCTAATAAATAAATAGATAAATAGTATATATCACTGCCTGTTCATTACTATGTCTTTGTAGTAAACTCCTGTATAAACTTTTGTACACACCTGCAGGTATAGTGTTTCTGCAGTGCGCATACCGATGGGTAACTACTGGGTCATGGAGTGTCTTTTTTTTTTTGTACCAGGGATCAAACTCGAGTCCTTGCGCTTGTGCAGCAGGCGACGAAGCCACTGAGCTAAATCCCTGGCCTGAATGTCTATTTTTTAATGTCTGTGCATGTTCATTGGAGCTGTGGATCCCATATATTTTAAAACAGTTATTCCAGTTTTCATTCCTATCAGCTGCAGGCCGCCTTTTCCCCTGCAGTGTCCAAAGCATGTGGTAATATCAAATGTTGCACATGTGTCAATCTGACAGGTGAGAAATGGTGACTTTTGGTTGTTTAATTTGCATTTTTCTGTTTACAAGTTACATCGAATCTCTTCTGTGCTGATGGCCACGTTTTTTCCTACAAACTGCCTGATCAAACCAGACCAGAATGCCTACTATGTGCTAGGAATTTTTGTGGCAAGTGAAGCAGACAAATATCCCTGCTTTCAAAAAGGTGACAACTTATTTGTGGGAAAAAGACCAGGGCAAAAGGTATCAAGACACTGGATAGTGTCTTAATTTGGATTTTTGAAAGGAGAAGGCATTAGGAAAATTCACTAGAAGTGGGACTCAGTTTTAACTAGGATGGCCAAGGAATCTTTTACTTACTTTTAGCCATTCTTTATGTATTCTACATGGTAATTGTTTGCCTGTTATATGCTCCACATATTTTTTCCCATCTCTGATGATTTTTAACTTAGATTATAATAAATAACTAAAAGTATAATAGATTTTCCTTGTTGTTTTTTTGAAATACAAAATTTTGTTAACTGGAATATTATCATGTAAAAAAGTAACAATTCTTTCTTCTTATCTTCCCAGATGGCTGTAGTTAAGAACTCTGTGTTTTATCTTTCTAGAACATTTTCTGCCCTCACTGCTCCTCATCAACCCCCCATGACCATTCTCCTCGGTCCCTAGTTAACCACAGTTACTGGCTGCTTCTCCGTAAATGGAATTCTCATCTTTTGTGCTGTTTCGCAGGGCTGCTTAATATTCTGTTTTAGAGGGGATCTCTAATTTATCCAAGCACTCCCCCTGATTGGACGTCAGGCTTGCTTCTGGTTCTTCATTCATCCAGACCATTTAGCAACCCCTACTCTTCTGCTCCTCTTATCTCATTTGGTTGTCAGACTAGAGTCGTCACACCCTGCATGTTTTGTGTTTTCTTCTCCCAGCTCCATGGCTACATGGAAAACAAGCCTTTGGGGCTTCAGATCTTCATTGGAACAGCTGACGAGCGGATCCTTAAGCCCCACGCCTTCTACCAGGTGCACCGGATCACAGGAAAGACCGTCACCACCACCAGCTACGAGAAGATTGTGGGCAACACCAAAGTCCTGGAGATTCCCCTGGAGCCGAAGAACAACATGAGGGCGACGTAAGGGAGAGGGCGGTGGGTCTTTCTAGGGAAGTGAACTGGGCCCCTGGGTAGGGTATGGGAGAGGGCTCCCTGGAGGTGATGGCAGCTGCCATGGACAGCAGCGTGCAAACTTGTGAGTAACTCAAACTTTTCAAAAAAGTTCCTATTTTAAAAGTATCGTATGTGAATATTTTCAGGAGTCTTGGGAAGAAGAATACTCGTGCATCTTTGAATCATGTTGCTTTATGAGGTTAAATTGATGTGCATTTAAAAAATTAGTTTTACCTAAAGAAATGGTTGAGTAAAGATGTAGAGAAATCAAAGTCACAGAATGGATGTGCCCGTGGCTAAAAGTTTGCAAACACTGCACGCCTGTGTTGGAGTTAAAAAAAAAATTTTATGAGAAAATAAACTAACAGAAAAGCGGCAAGAAAGTATGAATTCCTGAGTACCATTCATTTAGATTTACCAGTTGTTAATGTTTCTCACATTTACTTTACCACTTCTATTTTTCCTCCCTGAGACATTTGACAGCTACTTGAGGATATTACTCCCTTTGACCTTTAAAACCCTCTGCGTGCATCTCCTCTTATACAGTAAGGTGCATTTAGCACACTCGAAATTAAACTTGGTACAGTGTTCTTACTGATGGAGCAGTCCCTAGGTATCACTGGTGGTGTATTTGTTTTTTGATACTTTTGAGAGTAGGGGAGTTGGAGTGAAAAATTTCCCTGGAGAAGTGATTTTAGCTGGGGAATTTCTCTGATTAGTTTGTAAATTTGTCTTTTTTTGATTGCCGTCTTGGTAGACACTCCTGGCTGGAATACTCAAGGTGGGCTGGGGCTGACTGATGTTATTTTGGCAGATTGCCCAGGGCAGTTTTGTGGGTGATTGCTCCTGCTGGCCGTGCTGATCAGTCACAAATGGGGCTGTTGGTCTCCTGGCAGGATTGACTGTGCAGGGATCCTGAAGCTCCGGAACGCGGACATCGAGCTGCGAAAAGGCGAGACGGACATCGGCAGGAAGAACACCCGGGTGCGCCTGGTGTTTCGGGTCCACATCCCCGAGTCCAGCGGCCGCATCGTCTCCTTGCAGACGGCATCCAACCCCATCGAGTGCTGTAAGTGGGGCTCCGAGGCAGGGTCTGGTTTGAAAGTGTCCTGGATGAGATTCTGCTCTGGATGGTGCAGCTGGCAGTTAGCCAGGTGGCCTGCAAAATTGCACAGGGCCCACAGGAAGGATAAGTGGTTGGTTTGGTTGGAGGTGCAGCTCAGTGGTACAGCACTTGTCCAGCATGCACCCTGGGGTCCATCTCTAGCACACTCCCCCCAAAAAGAGAAATAAAAAACACATGTTTTACATACCTCATGGTAGAGCGCTTGCCTAGCTTGTGCAAGGTCCTGGGTTCCATTCCTCACATGGCAAAGCAAACAAAGAAGATAATTCAGAATGATCAAAGGGGCCAGAGACAGTGGACACAGGCAGGTTTTATCTCTGCTTCTGTTTACTTGTGGCAGATTTTGCGGCCTCAGAGGTAATTAAAAAACAGTATGGCTAATGGGCAGTAGGTAGCCTACAGCTTTGTTTAGAATATTGGAAATGTATAAATACTGTTCTAGTCTTTAAAAGGGCAGATGCATTTGACCTGAGTTCATTGTACGTAGTGACCCTATGTTCCTTTTCCTCTCTCCTTTCAGCAAAAGTAACAGTAATGTCATAGTGGTTCTTGTTTGTGGAGCTTGGACTCTGCCAGTCACTGGTGGGAAACTCACAGCTGTCCTTGGGCTGGCTGGGGTCTTTATGCTCATTTTATAGACGAGGAGGGAAACATACAGGGGCTGAGTAAATGTGTGCACAGCGGAAAGGTAGCAGGGCTGGGGTTTGAACTTCAGCTTGTGCAGGGAAGCACCACACGCTGCCTGCATCTTCCCCTGGGTATTCCCTGGGGTGCCTGTGTCAGGGACCACGCCAGGTACTGGGCAGCCATGGAGGAGCAAGACATTTTCCCTGTCCTCAGTGAGCTGACAGTGTATTGAGGATAAGGACCCCACATGGTGGGTATAAAGTTGCAGAAGATTTTCAGAATCTGGTATAAAGTGGGCACCGAGCAGAACACCTGGCCTAGTTCTTCCTGGCTTTGAAAGTAGCTTTGAGCTTGTTCTTAGGTACTTTTCGGAAGAGAAATAATTATTGTGAGTTTTTTCAGTGAGACATGACAAAGCTTATTGTCTTGCTGCACCTTTGAAAGTTTAGCAATTCTTTTCAAAAGCATAAAGAGGAAAAATGTAAAACACTGTTTCAGACAAAAGCTGTTGATATGTGGATTTTTTAAGTCTGAGGTTATTTTATCTTGTTATAATCACGTTCCGTGTAAAATTATGTTGCAGGGGTTTTCCCTGCCTGTTCACTGGACATCTGTCCACAGCGAGGTGTCACAGCCAGGGAGGAGGTGGGAGGGAGGGTAGCAGGGTGGGTGACGGTTCGGACTTGGGAGGATTGGAGATAGGAGACCCATGTAGCACCTTCCCCACCTACGTGGACTCCATTTACCTAGCCCAGCCAGGGTTTTCACACGGGAGCATGCACTCTGTGTGGCCGAGTCTTCTGACTTTAAAGGATAAACCTGGAATCTACTGAGTTTTAAAAAATGGCAACTGGCCTGGAGGTGTAGCTCAGTGGCAGTGTAAGGGTTTTGCATGCACAGAGTTCTGGGTGCAGCCTCCCCTGTACACACACACACACACACACACACACACACACACTCTAAAAAATGGCAAGAAATTAAAAATATTCTGTGACATCAGGCACATGGCCACTATTAATCTGAGGTGGTCTTGAGCCACAGATAACATGACTATGTTATGCAGAGAGGGTGGAACAGGACTGGCCCTCCAAGCAGAAGCCAGGGAGGAGAGAAGGGGCCCTTTTTTCTGGAGAGCACCAGAGTTTGGCCTTGGTTAGCCTTTGGAAAGGAATGAAGGAGCCCCTGGATTCCCTCTAGCATTTCTGGTCAAGATGAGGATCAGCTGAGTTGGTGGTGAGTTTGTTCTCTGAGCTAGGAGGGAGAGGGACCCAGCAGCAGGTGACAAAGGGACACAGATACTGAGAACCCTGCCAGTGTGGGAACTGGAATTCCCCTCCTCTGCTCAGCAGACCCCACCCCTGCCCCCAGAAGCCGGTCATGGTGGCTGCCCAACCCCATCTTGGTTTCCAACACCTCAGGATGTTTTTGGAAGGAAACGCAGGCTCTTCCTCGGAGCTTGGGGGATTTTGAGCAGAGAGGGCCTCCCCTTTCTGGCAAGTGACTCACTCTCCAGCCTCGCTGTGGTTTGCAGCAAGGTGGGGAGCAGGAAGCTTGAGCAGAGACCATCTGCCGGAGGAGCCCAGGTTCCTCTCTCTGGCTTCTTTAAGTCGGTTTATCTGACATCAATCTGAGACTTTAAGGATCATCGCTGAACCACAGGGACCTCCTATGAGGAGGGTGTTAGAAAGTTGTGTGAATCTTGAAAATCTTTTTTTTTTCTTTTTCTTTATAAAAAGCATTTGGCTGATCCACCTACCTTGTTGTGACAGATAAAGAAACTGAGGCTTTCTTGGTAAAATGATTCACTCATTTTTAGCGAGTAGGGGCAGAGCCAGAGTCTCTTGCTTTCTAGTTCTGTAAAAGCCTTCTGTTGGGTTTTGTAACGCACCCTGTCCTGCAGCCCACCCTGTGCGACCCCTTGGCCTCTCTCCTCACCCAGAATCTCATCTCATTGTTATCTCTTTCTTTGTTCTATTTTTCCCAGACCAGTGCCCAGTAGTTCCATAAATATTTATTGCCTAGTTGACTTACTGTATCATCTGTAGGGAGATACTCAACAAATATTTATTGACAACCAGTGAGTAACACAGACCAACACAGTGTGTATAAAATAAGTGTTTACTGAGTGTGTACCTGCTGGGGAGGGGAGTGGGTGCCGGGGTGGGGGTTGCTTATTTGCAAAGCTGACTTCCTTTGGAATTGCCTTTTACATACCATCTTGGGAAACATAGGTGAGTTCTCTGTGTCTAGTAAAAACCACAAACTCTCTGGAGAGCAATGTGAGTGCATAACGAGGCTCCATCTGTTCATCTGCACACCGGCTGTTGGAGGCCCAGCCTCACCTTTGCAGGTTGGTGCCCACCATTCCAGCTGCTGCTTCCACTGGGGCTGCAGTGCTGCCCAGAGCAACCCTAGCTTCCCCTCACCCCTCCTCTAGTCCCACTGAGACTCTGCTGAGCTTTGATACCCCTACCCTTCCACTGCAGAGAGATGTCGGCCCTCCCACGACAGAGGTCACACCCTTGGTGTGTCCCCCCTTGGTGTCCCCGAAGACGACCCTCTTGTGGGTCACAGCTGACAGCCTTCCCTTCCCCTGGCACCTACCTCGGCCCGGTTGTTCATGCCTGGGCCAGTCTGCCTCTCCTCAGTGGTCACTTCTGCTTCCTGCTGTGACTGAGCCCCTGCACCTTGTTGGTTACCTAGACTTTCATGACCACTTCCCATTGGTGGCTTAAAACCAAGAGGTGCTGTCTCGCTGGGAGCCAGAGGCCTGAAGTCACAAGGTGCAGGGTCAGCTTCCCCAAAGGCACCGAGGGAGAGATTGTGAGGTCTGTCCAGCTCCAAGGCTGCTGGTGTTCGGGTGCCATCTTTACACGGCCTTCTTCTCTGTCTCCGTGGGTCTTTTTCAGTTGTCCTTAACAAAATTCTCATTGGATTTACCCCCTACCCTAATCCAGAACAATCTCTTCTCCATCTTTACCTTAATTACATCTGCAAAGATCTCATTTCCAAACAAGGGACATTCTGAGGTAGCAGATGGAGGAGGGATTGCTGTTCAACCACTGCACCCAACCCCAGCTGCCTTTTTTGACTTCTCTTTCCATTGCCCTCAGTTTCTGTACACACCGGGGTCTTTCTCCCACGACTACTTGGCTTTGGCCCTTGCTGTCACCTCTACCCAGGACACGGGTTCTTGACTTCACCTGTACCTCCGAGTCACCTGTGATTTATTTTTTAAAAAATTCCAATGCCTAGATCCCAGCCCAGAGACTGATTTGGTTTGTCCGGGGTGTGGCCTGGCCATGGAGACTTTCCAAGGGTCTCCAGTGAATCTGATGTAGGACAGAGTTTGAGATCTGCTCACCCCACCCCATCCTTTGGTTGCTGGCTCACTCCCCCTTGTTCAAGATTCCATTTGTGTGGCTCCTCGGGGAGGAAGTGTCCCTGTCCTGCAGCACGGGGGCCCCTCTTTGTGCACTGACAATGCAAGTTTCCTGTTCATCTCCCTCCTGAGATGGTGGACCGGGTGCCAGGTCCTGGTGCACAGTGACAGTCTCTAGAGGCCCCTTGAGAAAGTGATGGGAAGACAAGCATCACCACATGGCCTAGGTGGAAGGAAGAGGCAGCGAGGGGACCGAAAGGAGGTGTCACAGCGCGTTTACTGCATCCTGTGAGAACCTTCCAGACCTCCTCTCTCCAGGGCTTGCTGTAGCTCTGCCCAAACCCTAGGACTTTTCTCCCTGCGTGGAGTTTCACAAAACACCTAATACAATTACACACCAATTCTGCCTGCTTGGAACACAGTGTGTGAATTCACTTGGCTCATTTTGCAACATGGAGGGTGGGTGTGGGGAGTGGGCTAGAAAGTGGCTCTTCATGCATGTGTTTTTCCTCCCCCGCCCCCACACCTTTACTGAGGTATGATTCAGGCACCGTAGATTGCACAGATTGTAAGTATTCATTCAACTCCACGATGTTTGCCAATTACATATGCAATTGTCGTTTGCAAACAGGCTTCCCTTCATTCCTGTAGGTTCCCCGGGGGCCCTCCTACCAGTACCTCCCCATAATCACACAGAGGCAGCCCCTGTTCTGATTTCCGTCACCACTGATCTGCACTGCCTGTCCTAGAACTTTGTAGAATAGAATTAGAGGGTGTGGTGCTCGTATAGGTCCTGCCGTTTCTGCTCAGAATCACTGCTGTTGCACGATTCAGTAGCTCATTCTCCCTCACCAATGAGTAACATTCAGCTGTGGGAATGTAACAATTGTTTATGTACTGTTATTAGAAGTTTGGTTCATCCCCAGGGTTTGGG